ATTGAGATATCAGTATTAATTATGTTAATTAGATGATTAAGAAGCATAAATATTTACCAAAAACTAATATGGTGCATAGTCTTACGTTCATTGAAATGTGATGGGTACTTTTTAAAAGTTCTATTGAAATCCAATGAGTGGTTTTTAGACATAGAACAGCAAAAAATTAACTAATTATGCAAATTAGGTAATTAAAAAGCACAATTATTTATCCCAAAATTAATCAGGTCTCTGCATAGTCCTAGAATATCTATGTCGCAAGTCTCATTGAAATGTGATGATTAGTACTTGAGATATCAGGTGAAAAGCTGAAAATTAACTAATTATGCTAATAAGGTGATTAATATGCACAAATATTTACCCCAAAACTAATTAGATCTCTGCACAGTCCTCAAGTAATTATGTACCAAGTTTCATTGAAACGTGATGATTACTACTCGAAATATCAAAAGCTGAAAATTAATTAATTATGCAAATTAGGTAATTAATATGTACTGATATTACCCTAAAAACTATCAGGTATGTGCAGTGTCATATGACACCTATGTACCAAGTTTTATTGAAATGTGATTAGTACTTGAGATATCAGTGGAAAAGCCGAAAATTGATTAATCATCATGTAAATTAGGTAATTAATAATATTAACAGATTTTTACCCAAAACTAATCAAATCTGCGCATTAGTTCAGAGCATCCATGTGCCAAGTTTCATTGAAATCCATTTTTGTGCTAAAAAATCATTGAAATAAAGTATTTCTGGCATTCCAGACCAGATCTTGTCTGTTTACTGATGGATTTTGTTCAAACTTGGTACACATATTGTACATTATGGGACCTTTGTTTTTTCAGATCAGATTCAAAATGGCCGACTAGTGGTAATTTTGTTTCAATGAATGCAATTCTAGTGCAATATCTCACATCTTTGACAGATTATGTTCAAATTTTATATATTCATTATACATGTCATAGATATATCGGTACAGATGTATTGGCTTAACGACCTGACTCAAAATGGCAGACCGGTGGCCATTTTGATTTCATCAATGGTGTTGCAGAGGAAAATATCTCTGAATATGGACAAATACTTCCCGAAATTTTTATTAGAGATGCCGATAACAGACAAAAAAGGAAATTTCCTCGTCTATTATAAAAAGTACATGTGCCTTTATTAAGAGACTTATTTTGACCAACATGCCTGAAAATAAACAAAAAAACCTTGCATGCGAGAACAATGGTTGTGAACTAGGTTTTTATTCAGTATAATTGCAAGGAAAAAATTTGACAATTGGGAACACAAGATAAAACATTCGGTACCTACTAGTCACAGAAATTCACAAGTATAATCATGGTAGAAAAATGAGACTTAAAACAATACCAATAATTGTACAAAAACAAATAATTAAATACCTTCCTGAAATAATTTTATTTTGCACCATGCAGGCCACACTGTTACACGTCAAGAAACAGTGCAACGTACACCAAATCAGCTCAAATTACCTAAAATATAGCTTGTATACCCCCAATTCCCTAAATGGAATGGTCCATGAGCTTCTTCAATGTTTGGGATGAACTATTTTATTTGAAGGAAAGTTAAAATTAAAAATGTGATGTTCACTCAATGAAAATACATGTCTAATAATAAACCAGAGATCAATATTCTTGTTAGTCTAAATAAAAAAGAGAATCTCAAAACATAAAGGATAGCCGAACAAGTATTTCTACTATAAAGCCACCTAAGTTACCAAAGAAAATTCGTGGCAGACTGCCCACATGACTACGCCACTCAACATACCCGAATCTACACCGGCACATTAATTTTGATTGAAATTAAAAATAAAAGTACAGTAACTGGCCGAAGGGCATATCAGAAATAAAACTTATTTTAAAAACAGGACACGAAAAGGCAGCCACAGACACCATTTTACTGAATATATTCCAACCTAGACTCACTCAAACCGGGCTTTGTACACCAAATCACTTAATTTGTTTACATTTTATTAAAATCTGCTATAATTTGTTTCTCACATGAAAGATCTAGTTATTTAATCACACCATGGCGAATACCAACATAACAGACTAAACCCAAGGAACTCTGCAAAACATTAAAATCATCAAAAAGTTTGTGAACATCCTATATATCTTTAATTTGATTATTAATTTTACAATATACATGAGAAATCGTGTCCATCTGGTGAAAATGATACATACAATGAACTAAAGGGTCAAACATTTTAAATCATGGGTGGTGGACTGAAAGAGCGACTTGCGAAATATTTGTTTTGCAGTTTCTTGTTCGAATATTTAAATTGTTTTGAATCCTGCAACACTTTGTGCATGCAATCTCTTTCTGCGTCAGGCTCGCAAGTGCATTTTTTTTTTTAACAAATCTTTCAGCCACCCCCCAATAATCTTGAATGGTCAACCCCTGAATATCAGTATTTGCAAGAGCCAGAAAAGATGGAGTACACTATCAAACCACTCAAGTCAACAGAATTGCTGCTGATCACATGACTGGACCACCTAAGTTACTGAAAATGTGAAAAACATTTTTAGCTTCGTTGGCAATCTCTATGAACCACAAAAATGAAAAGATACTTTCCTTAAAATATGGCACGTTTTTATCAGCTTACAGACATGTACAAACGAAATCTTAACTGGCTCTAACAAACAAAATGTCACTGTGATTAATATTGCTTTAGTAAACCTTCAATTATTTCTTTATATTTTTTTTCTCATTTTCTTTTTTAATTTCAAAAAGCAGATTTCTATAATTTGCATAAAGCAGACATCTAAAACTGCTGGGAAAAAAAATAAAAAGTTCAAAAGCAAAATAATGATGTACAACTTGACAAGGTCAGCTCATTTATTTACATTGGTGAAAATGACTGAATGTACCCACGTGTATCTCAAACTCGCTGCAAGGGGACCATTCCCAAGCCGACTATACAACAATGCAAGCAGCATAATACAGTTGGTGGGCAACTGTATTACGTCATCATAGCCATGCACAAAAGCTGGGGCAAAAACTTGGTTCTAATAATGCAGAACTGTATATTTTGCAGTAAATGAACTCAACAATGTTTTTGTGCTGTTACATAATTAAGTAAATGCTATATACAAAACATTGTCGCAGTATACAGGCTGCAATCAGTCAAACAAAGGTGCATGAAAGAATTTAGCGCCATATATATTTAGTCGACTGGTAGAAAAGCAGTGATATAACAGGAAGCCAAACTAGGGGTCAAATCGGGTAAGTGGAAGCGGTAAATCTACCATGAGAAAGTCCCTGAAAGTATTTTCGAAAGCGTAGTTTCAGATTCGTCACAGAGACGGATACATTCAGCCATTAATAGAATAGTTACAATGTATGCTTATGCAACAATAAAATCTGTTAATTTGTTACAAACTGGTTGTGCTAAAAAAAATTAAAGTAATGTCATTTGTTATTATGATTATAAATTGCAACCTAAGTAAAGTTAAAAACTCCGATAGAGTACTGTTACACGTCTTGACACTGTGCACAAAGCTTACCACATTGCAAGATGCCGAGAGTAATATATACTTCATTTTTTACAATATTTTCAGTTCTGAAGCAAATTGGTAAAACCATTTATTTGTTTCAAAGAAATTAGTGCATAATTCAACAGCTTGTTGGGTCCTAGCAAGTAATAAGAAGAGACTCTTGCAAAACTACAAAGCGTAATCAGAGCATACAACTGATGGGTGTATGTGGAGGCAATTAAGATTTGTTATTATAACTTTACTTTTTTTTCTCTACTTAAAAAAAAAAAAATATACAGAGACATGGGTCAGTAATAAGTTACAAATTAGCAATCAAAATATTCTGCTGCCATGGCGACAAATTAACATTGCCATGGCAACTAATTCAAATAACCCAATGTCAATCAATGGACCGTATGAAAAAAAAAATTAAAACATTTCATTCACATTTTTTAAGGAGCTGGTCAAGTTTCCAAATGCCCCCCCCCCCCAGTCAACGTCATTGTACAAGTAAACTACATTTGCATATGAATAAAAAACCCTTACAATGCCCATTTCACTCAGAAAGATTCAAGATGGTATGTAAATTTCTTCGTTATTAGGATGAATCCATTGCAGTCATAAAGTGAAGGACGAAGAGGGCACAATGGGAAATGAGCCCTGCAGACACTCAAAATCTTTGTATGGTTTGCGGCCTTTCAATCACACTGAAATTCCTCCTGCGATAACTGATAGATGATGTTAGTAACAAGATCGGAGTAATTTGAGTGCGAGCTTCGTTGGAATGTTCTGCAGGACGTCTTTTGAATTAGTAGTATGTTTCTCGTTCTACAAAGCCTCCAGGGTTACGTCTAAGAATGTAGCGACGACATTCGTCATATACAAAAATGAGAATACTAAATGGAATGGGACACAGCCACCACAAGAATCTGTTGAATGAAAGTAAAATTTGTTTCAATTATAGAACACAAAAATATATAAAATATTCAAAATCTGTATGGCACAATGCAACAGATGGATTAGCAAATTTACACAAACATGAAATGGTAAATTTTTGGTTCTCAATTGTTTAAAAAGAGTGCGTGTGGCTTCTCTTAGGGTAGATCGTCAACAGTCCCTCTGGTTTAATGGTTCTTTTCCAAATAAATGATTTAATCAAACGCCATAATGCATTTGCCAAATGCCAGACCATTCTTGGGATGTACCAACAAAAAATTGTAAAAGGTTCTCCAAACATTTCACTCAATAAAACTAAAGTCGTGATTAAATATTGTACCCCTCTCACAAGCTATAAGAAGAGTTTCTCTACAATGGCAAGTGATGGCGTGTAACGGCCCTTAGTCCCTCAGGCCTGCTTGACATGCCTTTGGTATTTCATTTGAATAAATCATTTTAGTTGGAAATAAAACAATTAGGTCAGAGGGGCTGTTGACAGTCAAGTATTAGAAATGCGGCTTGTAATACAGATTTCGCAGTACTATT